TTTTGCCTCAGTGGCCAATGAAACCTCAAGAGGCCAGGGCTAACCTTGGACTTGAGTCATCCCTTCTTTACTCCCTTGGTTGGTAGGAGGTTTCTAGGCAGCTGGAAGCAAAAAACAGGCTGCCTCAGCAGTCTTCCTGCTGCTTCTTCAGCACTTGGGTCAGAAGCTTGAGAGGGGGAAGTGGAGTGGTGCCCCTGGCTGCTCAGTAGGTGGGAAGAGCAGACAAGGAAAGCAGCTTTCTACAGAGCTGTCTGATACCCTGTGCTGGTGCAGGCAGAGGGACTCTTCCTTCCTGTCTGTTTCAGCTCTGAGACTCCTCCTTTGGAGCATATATGCATCTGTGCCTGTGTTCCCTTGTCTCACATAGGGTCTCTGGGATCCAGCTATTGAGTGGGGTGGTAGTGTAGAACTGCATGTGGGTCAGCAGGGGGTGGGGCTAGCTGGAGTGTCTGTAGGTGGCAGGGGTAATGGAGAAGCTGGCTATCCAGCTTTAGCCTGGCAGTGGAACAAAGTGGACTTGACTTCCCTGGCATAGCTAAGCCAGAGAGAGAGAGAGAGAGAGAGAGTATGAGAGAGAGAGAGAGAAATCAACACCTCTAGTCTGGAGTAGGACTACAGAAGGGTGGGGGGAGGAGGAGGAGGGTAAGGAGGAATGCTGGGGGCCTTGCCCTCTGTCCTTGGTATCAGGTCTTCCTTGGATCTTCCCTTTCCTGCCCTTTGCTGCATTCTTTAGAGAATGGCCTCCACTGGCCACATTGGCAGTCCATGTGGTCCCCATCGTCCTCGGACCCACACCCGTGGCCCCGTGTGCCATGATCAGGCCTGCTGTGGCTCCTGGGTCATGGACTTTTGTGTGCCCATCTCTTTGGCAGATTTCTGAGTGCCAGAGGCTAGAAGCAACTGAAAATATGTAGGGGTGGCCTATAACTTACCTGGTGACACCACTTTCTCTCTTACAGCGGCCTTCCTCACACAGACTGTCTGCTTAGATGATACAACAGTCAAGTTTGAGATCTGGGACACAGCTGGACAGGAGCGGTATCACAGTCTGGCCCCCATGTACTATCGGGGGGCCCAAGCTGCCATCGTGGTCTATGACATCACCAACACAGTAAAGCTTTTCCCTTCTTTCTTTGCCCTTCATCTTTAAGTTATAAAATCCCCCATTTCAGGCCTCTCAATCCTGTTTTTGGGGTTCTTGGGTGGGATATGGGCAGTTTTCCTCTGCCAACCAGAATTGTTTTTTTGTTTGTTTGTTTTCTGTTAGTCCTGGGGCTTGAACTCAAGGCCTGGGCACTGTCCCTGAGCTTCTTTTGCTCAAGGCTAGCACTTTACCATTTGAACCATAGCACCACTTCTGGCCTCTGTGTATGTGCTACTGAGGAATCAAACCCAGGGCTTCATGCATTCTAGGCAAGCACTCTACCACTAAACCACATTCTCAGTCCTGACTAGAATTTTTAAGGATGACATCTCAGACACCTTAGCTAAAACCATTTGAGCTTCACTGTCACTGTCCTGTGTCTCTGACATTCTGGCCCTTTCTCCTCAGGATACTTTTGCACGGGCCAAGAACTGGGTGAAGGAGTTACAGAGGCAGGCCAGCCCCAACATCGTCATTGCACTCGCGGGTAATAAGGCAGACTTGGCCAACAAGAGAGCTGTGGAATTCCAGGTAGGGAGATGACAATACTTGGCAATGAGCAAGCAGCTGCATGAGGCCTCCACAAGATGCTTAGGGACTGTGGAAAGGGCCAGGTGCAGGGCAACAGGCACCTTTCATCTGCTGTCTACTTTGACTGATGCATGGGTCCAAGAGGAGCATGGGGAGGATAGGGCAATATGTGTATGACACATGAAGTTTGTGTTTCTGTCCTGTATTAGAAAAGTACAGGATTTTTTTTCTTCATATAACTCATGTACATAGTAGAAATGCATCATGCAAGAAAACATGGAAAGTAAATTTTAAGTCTCAACCTCTCCTTCCTCTAGCCTCCCCTTCCTCCGCTGCTTATCTTTACAGAAGTGCACATGTACTTGTGAATCCCTCTCTTCTCATAGATGGGCATACGTCATTCATACTGAGTATTCTTTTTTACCAGTCCCTAACTGGTGACTTCCAAATTGTAATAACTGAAGAATAGAAATGTCCATGTATGTTTATGCTTTTGTCCAAATGTAAGTTTATTTTTAGTATAACTTTCTTTTTTTTTTGGGGGGGGGTCCAGTCATGGGGCCTGAACTCTGGGTCTGGGCACTGTCCCTCAACTCTTTAGCTCAAGGCTAGCGCTCTACCACTTGAGCCACAGCACCACTTCCGGCTTTTTTTCTTTTTGCTTATGTGGTGCTGAGGAATCTAACCTAGGGCCTCATGCATGCAAGGCAAGCACTCTACCACTGAGCCACCTTCCCAGCCCTTTAGTATAACTTTCTGGTATTTCCCAGCTTAGTTCTTTTGAACAATAAGAAGGCAAGGTGGACCTAGGAAAGTCTGAATGGATAAAAACAAACATCTGCTGATATTCATGAGCTGAGACATATGATGTGTATGGGGAGACCTGGGGTTGAGATGTTTTGAGGGAACTCAGAACAAGGAAACCATAGGACTGAAAACCCTTGCCTTTGTCCAGTCAAGCTCTATTGTATATAAAAGACATGCTTTTATCCTGGGCCTTAGCACCTGTCAACTGCTAACATTTTCTTCCTGCCCTTTCTCTCTCACTTCCAATGAATCAGGAAGCACAAGCCTATGCAGATGACAACAGTTTGCTGTTCATGGAGACTTCCGCAAAGACTGCAATGAATGTGAATGAAATTTTCATGGCAATAGGTAACTTTTTTCTCTTCCCCATCCCATCACCTCCAAGAGCATATTTCTTGTGTGCTGTTCGCTAATGGGTTGTGGTTGGGGTGTTTCTCCACCAACATATCTTTTACCACCTCAGTAGCGCACCTCGGAAGTTTCTAAAGCCTGAGTTTCAACCTTTTACTCCCTGACCTTTAGCTTGTGCCCATTTTAGAATCTGCCTTTGCTATTCTTTACCCTTTCTTAGTTTTAGGTCATTTGACTCTAGAGTTATCCTCCCACTTATTAGCTCTGTGGTCTTGGGCAAGTTGTTTCTTTTTGTTTTTTGTGTTTTTGAGACAAGATTTGAATATATAGCGAGAAAAGCCTTTAACTCTTGGTTTTTTTCTGCCTCAACATCCCAAGTGCTGGGATTATGGGCATTCACTACAATCCTGACCCTGGGGAAAGTTCTTTAAAATCTCTTTGCCTCCTGTTTCCAAGACACTCACAATACACTTGCTGCATGGAAAGCCCTGTCACCGATGGAGTAGGATGGTGGTAAAGGTGCAGTTGGGAGAGCGTATTGGGGTAGCCTCACTGAAGCATTTTCCTCTTGTCTCCCAAACAGCTAAGAAGCTTCCCAAGAATGAGCCTCAGAATGCAGCTGGTGCTCCAGGCCGAAACCGAGGTGTGGACCTCCAGGAGAACAACCCAGCCAGCAGGAGCCAGTGCTGCAGCAACTGAGCCCCCCTTGCCTATCACTGCCCCCACTCCTCCGCCTGAACGACCCAACTGGAATCCATTCTAACCAATCGCACTTAACAACGACTCGGGCCACAGCTGGGGGCAGGGGAGGGGTCCATGATTTCTCCGCATAACTTTGATCCTAGACCGGAGGGAGTTATTCCACCTGCACCTTTCTGTACAAATACTAATTCAATTTTAAGTCTTAAGTCACTTTTTTAATATATATGATCTTCTGCTCTTCCCACTTCCCCCCCTTCTACTGCTCTCCAACTCTCCTTTGCTGGTAGTAGCCATGTGCTCCTATACCCACCTTGTCTGTGGGGCAGGGGGTTAAGCAGTTACCCCCTTGTTTCCCTCCTCTTGTTGGAGAGCAGACTCCACAAGAGCACCCACATCCTTACCTTGTTGGGAGGGGTCTTGGTCCAGGGCAGTGGGCAGGCCCTGGACTGGGAAGGGACAGGTAGCTCTTCCCACAACTGGCTGTCATCAGGCTGCAGCCCCTCCCCGCTCTACTCTAAGCTGGGAGAGAAACGGCAGCAGTATCGCAGCATCATTATGATGGCCACATCCCCATTGCCCCTGACCCCTCCACCCTAGGTCACCCTGACCTCTGGCTCTGAGCCCTGTTCTGACCAAATCACGATGATGAGTATTTGGGGTGGGTGGGCAAGGGTGGGGGGAAGAGGGAAGGGATGGAACCAACTTTTTCTGTATTTTGTATTGTATGTTTTCTTCAACATGTAACCAATCAGTATCTTGTCAATATAGTCAGCCGATCGATCGATCTCACACTTGTCTTCGTCTTTCTCTAGCAGCTTATCAATGTCCTCTCTAGTTTATTGAAATTAATTTAAAATGAACCAGAGTGTTCTTAAACACAGCCCTCCCCCCACCCCATACACACAATTTGAGGGGATGCTGGTGGTCATGGTAACCAAGACAAAGCTCTGAGGATGTAGGACTGGGACAGCACTGACCTGGGGCCAACTAAGCTTGAAGCTGAGGGTCCTGCATTTTTCTCTCCCCCACCTCCCTGCCCTCATCAGCTTACATTAGGGGACATGGGATTCATGTTTGGGAGATCTCTGAAATGACCACTGGGCGTGCACCAGGCCTGTTGGGTGAATCTCATCCTCTTCCTTGAAGAAGGGGCACTGACAACTTCAAAAAGCAAGGCTATAGCACCTCACTTTCCTTGCCACCTGGCACTGTTTTTCTCCATTGCATTCCTTCCCTCCCCCTGCAGGTCCACCCCCAAGTCTCAGATCCCTTCACTGGGTCTGGGTCTGGGGTCTGATGACACCCGGGTTCCCCAGTTTCACCCAGGACCTGATTCTTGGCCCACCACCACTTGGGGGGTGGGCGAGGAGCTCCCTCTACCTGCAGTTCTAACCATCAGCATCCGATCCCAACACCAGAAAAGACAGGACCCTTAGTCTGCTCATCACGGTGGTTGTTTACTAGGTCAGGTTAGGTGGAACTTTTCTTAGAGCCCTGTCGCCTGGGCCTCAGGGATGGATCGGTGTGGGCTTGGGACAGAGGCAGCGCCCTGCACTGGCCACGGACCCACAGCTGGCCTGAGGGGGTCAGGCAGCACGACATGGCGGCCGGGTCTAGGTCAGGCGGGAGTAGCATCTGTCGGTGCACCTTCTGCTCCATTCGGCGGTAGCTGCCTCTGGCGGGGTCGGAGCCCTCCTGGTGTCGCTGGCCGGTCACCACCAAGCTTTGGCCATCCACCTGCACCACGAGTTCCTCTGGGGCAAAGCCGAAGGCATCCATCTTCACTTGGAAATCATCTTGGGTGTGCTCACGGTTCTGCACATTTAGTCCCTCGTCCCTGAGCACCCGCACCGGTAGTGTGGCCACTTGATTTCGTTCAGTGACGGCCGCATTAGAAAACCGGGGCGCCACCCGACTCTCGTTGGAGAAACTGCCACTGACCCGCTGCATCCGAGTGAGCAACTGCTATGTGAGGGCTCGAGGCTCGCTGCCCCGGCTGGTGCGCGGGAGGAAGGCCGCCCCGCCCCGCCCTGGCCCTGCCCATCTCGCTCAAGCCCCGCCCACTCAGCTGAGCTCAGCTCCGCCCACCCGGTTCCTTCAGCACAGGCAAACGTTGGGCAGTGTTCCAGGTTAACCATGCTTGTCCTACGTCCGGGTGCCAAGTAGTCAGTCGTCCTGCTGCCTGGACTCTGCTCCTCCCTTTGCCCTTCACCAGCATCAGAGGGTCCAGGGTTGTGGTGGAACTGGATACAACTGAGCATGCAGGATCCCAACCTGCATGTAAATGGATGATTTGGTGACAGCCAAGATCAGATTGAGTTACCTGGCTGGAAGAAGGCTGTCCTGCCCTCTATGAACCAGGCCTGGGACTAGGAGGACTGTATCCTAGATAGAGACAGAACACCCTGCCTTTCCCTGACCACGCATAATCCTCTGCTAACATGTGAGGAAAGAAGTATCTGTCTGCATCTTGAATTCTCTTCCTGTTCTGTAGGCCCCAGGGCTGGGCTTGGAGACCACAAAGATGAAGACAGAGCTGAAAGCTGGGCTTTATCTCCCTCTGCCCTCACTTTGGTAGCTTTCTTTGTGACTATCCCAGCCGTAGCTATGCCTGTGCTCAGTGGTTTCATAGGGAAAAAAAAATCCTTACGTAATAAAGAGAAGTGCACAAAAATATTCAGCTGAATATCACAAAGCCAACACCCATGTCGATACCACATAGCACAAATTTAAACTAAGTTGCTACATTTAAACTAAGTCCTAAATTCTATGTCAGGTAGTCTGTAGGATATGACTTGGAGCTGTGATCGAGAAGAGAACCCCAGGATAGGACTGACCTAGGGACACCCAAGTTTGAAATTGAGGGTCCTGCATTTGTCTCACTCCCTCCTCCCCGCCCCTTACCAGCTTACATTAGCTGATATAAGGGTCGTATTTTAACATGGCTGGTCTCTAAAATGACTGCTTCCATTTCCCTTGGTGGGCTTCAAAATCCACAAATCTCCCCAAACAGATGCCTATGTTCTGAGATGTTCCGTGTCCCCGAAATGATAGCAATCACGACTGTTCCGGATGCTCTCAGGATAGAAGTGAGAAGCAGTCAAATGGGTTGCTGCTTGGGACCAAGAGACAGAGCAGAAAAGTCTGGAAGGCAGAGGCAGAGGGGCACGGCGCGGCAAGACTACAACTCCCAGCGTGCACCGGGGCGGTGACGCCTGCGCACTGCGAGCCGGTTGCCCATGCGGCCCTAGGGCTGGGACCGCGGTGCCGCTCCGCTGCGGGGAGGCCATGGCGGAACCATCCCAGGCCTCGACCCCTGCCCCAGCTGCGCAGCCCCGGCCCCTTCAGTCTCCGGCCCCAGCCCCAACTCCGACTCCTTCGCCCAGTCCGGCTTCTGCCTCCACTCCGGCTCCCACCCCGGCGCCAGCCCCCGCCCCAGCTGCAGCCCCGGCTGGGAGCACAGGGGCTGGGGGCCCCGGGGTAGGAAGTGGGGGGACTGGGGCTGGGGGCGATCCAGCTCGGCCTGGCTTGAGCCAGCAGCAGCGTGCTAGCCAGAGGAAGGCGCAAGTCCGGGGACTGCCGCGTGCCAAGAAGCTCGAGAAGCTTGGGGTCTTCTCGGCTTGCAAGGTGGGGGCGGGGCCTGGGACGAAAGGGGCGGGACTTGGGGGCATCCTAGAGCTCGAGTGGGAATCGGGACGAAGCTTCGAGCGGCTCCGGCACCAAAAATACAGTGCCATTGACTGATCTTTCCTCCTCTAGGCCAATGAAACCTGCAAGTGTAATGGCTGGAAAAATCCCAAGCCCCCCACCGCACCACGTATGGACCTCCAACAGCCAGCTGCCAACCTGAGCGAGCTGTGCCGCAGCTGTGAGCACCCTTTAGGTAAGGCAGGCTGCGCCTTGGGAGCTGGTTGTAAAGGGGTTGGTGCAAGGTCCTGTTGGAGGGGATAACTTTACCATAAAGCCTCTCAGAAAAAAAAATCAGAGATGCTTCTGAGAAAAGATTGGGTTGGGATATGTGAAAGGCAGGAGCCATCTGCCAGGGCCGGCATGGGATCATTCATTCGCCCTGTTGGTCCACATGGGTTGGAGGGAATGAGGATGTATTTGGGGATGGCTGGCAAGAAGTGCGGGAAGCCCTGTAGATTATTATTTCTTCTTCTTTTCCTCTTCTTCCTCCACTCAGGGCTTCAAGCTCTCATTTGGCCTTTTTGTTCAAGGCTAGCACTGTACTATTTGAGCCACACATCTACTTCTGGCTTTTTGTTGGTTAATTAGATATAAGAAGACTCATGGACTTTTCTGCTCAGGCTGGCTTCAAACCTCAGCCCTCAGATTTAGGATTACAGACCTGAGCTCCTGGCACACAGATCCTGTGGATCTCTTTTATCCTTTCTTCCCCACTCTTCTTGCAGCTGACCATGTGTCCCACCTGGAGAATGTGTCAGAGGATGAAATTAACCGGCTGCTGGGCATGGTGGTGGATGTGGAGAACCTGTTCATGTCTGTTCACAAGGAAGAGGACACAGACACCAAGCAGGTCTATTTCTACCTCTTTAAGGTGAGCTTTCAGGGACTGAGAGTTTAGGAGTGGATGTGGGAAGGCCTTTTGAATGTTGAGGGAGGGGGTCCTCAGTTCTGAGCTCTGCTGTCAGTCACTACTCCTCCCCTTTCCTCTTCCCTCCAGCTCCTGCGGAAATGCATCCTGCAGATGACCCGGCCTGTGGTGGAAGGGTCCCTGGGCAGCCCTCCATTTGAGAAGCCTAACATTGAACAGGTGGGACAGGAAGGTGGTAAGAGGAGAACTAGGGGAGTTTTGGAGGAGTGAGGAACCTTTGTTCTCCATCGTCTTCAAGAGGCGAGTGGGGGAGAGGTTCAGAGAAGGGACATGTTCTCTGATAACTTACGGGTAGACCAGGGCTTAGTTTCTATTCTCAGAGTCCCAGAGTATGTAGGGTGTCTTTTTTTTTTTTTTTAAACTAGTGGAATTTAACTCAAGATTTTGTACTTGCTAGGCATGTACTTTATTGTTTGAGCCACATCTCAAGTGGCTAGGGTTTTCTTTTTGTTTTGTTTTGGGAATTTGCATTCAGGATTTGGCTCTCTTGCTTTTTTTTTTTTTTTAATCAAAACTTGAGTTCTACCATTTGGGCCACATCTCTATTTCCAGATTTTTGCTGGTTCATTGGGAGTCTCACAGACTTTTCTACTCACACTGACTTCAAATTGTGATCCTTAGATCTCAGCCTCCTGAGTAACTAGGATTATAGGTGTGAGCCACCAGCACCTGGCTTTTTGAATAGGGTCTGGAATTTTTGCCCCAGCCAGCATAGAGTGAGATTGTCTTCTTTTTTTGCTTCATGTGTAGTTGGATGACACGTGCACACCACTGGGTCCAGCTTCTGTTTGATTTTTGCTCAATCTGATCTTGGATCACATTTCTCCCAATCTCCACCTCCCATGTAACTGGGATTATAGGCATGAGCCTCTGTGTCTGGTAGGGAGCATCTTTGTGTGAAAAGGCCCTGCAGCTGCTCATGCCTCCTCTGGTTTTGGTCCATCTCCTCTCTCAGGGTGTCCTGAACTTTGTGCAGTACAAGTTTAGCCACCTGGCTCCCCGGGAGCGGCAGACAATGTTTGAACTCTCAAAGATGTTCCTGCTATGCCTTAACTATTGGAAGCTTGAGACCCCTGCCCAGTTTCGACAGAGGTCCCAGTCCGAGGATGTGGCTACCTACAAGGTCAACTATACCAGGTACGCCCCGCCAGTGGTTCAGGGAAGAGGTTTGTAGGCCTAGGCTGGGTTCTGTGGTCTTCACCTTTACCTGCCACTCTCCCACCCCCCAGGTGGCTCTGTTACTGCCACGTGCCACAGAGCTGCGACAGCCTGCCCCGCTATGAGACCACCCATGTCTTTGGACGAAGCCTTCTGCGGTCCATCTTCACGGTCACCCGCCGGCAGCTACTGGAAAAGTTCCGAGTGGAAAAGGACAAGCTGGTGCCCGAGAAGAGGACCCTCATCCTCACTCACTTTCCCAAGTAAGGCCCGGTCTGGCTTGTTGGGATTTTGTCCCAAGGTCATGTCCTCCTTTTTGTCCCCTGTTTTCCAGGAAGGCTTCCTGGATTGGTCCCTCCTCTCCCTCCATGGGCCTTCTGGGATCTGGGTGTCTACCTGGCAGACTTGCCCATGGCCCAGAAGCAACTTGCTAGTATTTGCCTTTGCACGTGCTAGTCTGGGGATGGCAGGTACATGCCCGAGCTAACGCTGCCCCCTCCCACAGCCCTGGTAGACATTACTAATTGTTTCCCATGGGGGCCTGACACAGCTTCAGAAACTGTCCCACCACAGCATTCCAAGAAACCAGAGCTGACACTTGAGGTGAAACCAACTACACCCCTATTCTAATGCTTTCTAGACCATACCTTCCTCCCATTGGAACCTGACTCATAGCTCTACAGTTCAAAAGCCTTTGTTGGGAATAAGCAGTGGCAAGATGGGGTGATTCTGAGGGGAATGAGAGGATGCAAATGATATGATACCCTGCCTAGCCACACAGCACAGGATGGCATCAGCTCAGACCCGGTCTCCCTGGGCCACACGTCATGGAAAAGCAAGGCTTCTGATCTCTGTCCTGAGTGTCTTGACCTCTTACCCTCAGTTAGAGGTTCCCAGAAGGCAGTGGGCCATGCCTCTCCATTGAGGCTGGGACTTCCCAGAAGGCAAAGGCTGTCTCCCTTCTTGGGCTCCCGCCCCCCCCCCCCGACAGCAGGGTCTGTCTGGTCAGCCTGTAGTCCCCCTGGGTCTGGCTCAGGCTGTACCAAGGTTGAAGGACCGAGGTGTGGAACAGTCTGTACTCTCCTGACAGGTTCCTGTCCATGCTCGAGGAGGAGATCTATGGGGCCAACTCTCCCATCTGGGAGTCAGGCTTCACCATGCCACCCTCAGAGGGGACGCAGCTGGTACCCCGGCCAGGTATGTGGCACAGTAGGCTCTGTAGGGTCTGCTTGGCCCTGGGAATGGAGTGGAGCCTGGGAAATTGCAGGGGGCTCATTTGGGGCGGGGAGGGCCTTGATTCTTTTGGGGGACCTGCCAACACTTTCTGTTCTCTATCCTTGAGGTTTTCTTTTTTTTTCCTCAGCTACGGTCAGTGCTGCGGTTGTTCCCAGCACCCCAATCTTCAGCCCTACCATGGGTGGGGGCAGCAACAACTCCCTAAGTCTGGATTCCACAGGGGCTGAGCCCATGCCAGGTGAGTACTTGATTCCCTCACACACCCCTCCCTTGGACCTTCTGGCTGTGCTGGATAACCTTGCCAACTTCTCTAGCAGGTGAGAAGAGGAAGCTTCCAGAGAACCTGACCCTGGAGGATGCCAAGAGGCTTCGTGTGATGGGCGACATCCCCATGGAGCTGGTCAATGAGGTCATGCTGACCATCACAGACCCTGCTGCCATGCTGGGGCCTGAGGTGAGCCCGCTGGCCTGCTGACCAGAGGGGGTAAAGGGCCCTCACCTACCCAGGCCCTTGTTTACCACTCCTCTTCTGCCTAGACGAGTTTGCTGTCAGCCAATGCAGCCCGGGACGAGACAGCCCGCCTAGAGGAACGCCGTGGCATCATCGAGTTCCACGTCATTGGCAACTCACTGATGCCCAAGGCCAATCGGCGCGTGTTGCTCTGGCTCGTGGGGCTGCAGAATGTCTTCTCCCACCAGCTGCCTCGCATGCCCAAGGAGTATATTGCCCGCCTCGTCTTTGACCCGTGCGTCCCCTGGGAGCCTCAGCCCCTTGCACATGACCCATAGGGACTTCTTACCCTCATAGTTGGGGACACCTTCCTTCCTGTTCCAAGGCCCAACTTTCAAAGAGCTTTGCTTCTCAGTTCCCATCACTGACTAGAGCTGGACCTGGGAGTAGTGGGGGACAAGTAAGGCTGACATACCCTCTCTATCTTAGGAAGCACAAGACTCTGGCCTTGATCAAGGATGGGCGGGTCATCGGTGGGATCTGCTTCCGCATGTTTCCCACTCAAGGCTTCACGGAAATTGTCTTTTGTGCTGTCACCTCAAATGAGCAGGTCAAGGTGAGCTGAGTGCCCTGACCCTGACTGACCCCATCCCTCCAACTGTTTGATTTTGAACCAGGTCAGAGTGTGTTACCAGTCGTCCCTGTCCTCCCTGCAGTTCCTCATGTCCCCACACAGTGGCAGCTGCAGCTTGGGAACTGCACTTTAAAGAAATGAGGCCCAATAGCTGGCAGCATGAGCACCATGCATGTGTGTGCATGTGCGTGCACACGCACATGTGTGTGGGTGTGTGCATGCATGTGTGTGCGCGCACACACGCACACATGCTCACATATGCATGTACTGGCGCTAGAACCCAGGACCTTGTACATGGTAGACAGTGCTATACCTCTGCCTTCAGCCATCAGCACTACGTTTTTTTTTCTTCTTCAGTATTTGAGACTTGAACTCAGGGCTCTGCACTTGCTAGGAAATGTCTACCACATTCCCAGTCTTTGTTTTCCCATTTTGCTTTCAATTTTTTCAGATAGGGTTTACCTTGGACCATGATACTCCTAACTGCCTCCTAAGTAGTTGGGACCTTAGGTGTGTACCATAACACCTGGCTGGTCTTTTTCCCCAGACTGACCTTAAATTGTGACCCTTATCTCCATCTCCTAAGTAGTTGGATTCTCATAGGTATGAACCACAAGCAAACACTTTTTAAGTGAGTCTGTCTTTATTCAAGAACATTTCTATACCTTAGAGAATTAATAATTGTTACAGTTGCCTTATGCTGATAGTCCTGGCTCAATCCTTTGTTATAGCAGACTTAGGCTAGCTACCTCAGCGCCTGTTTCAGGCAGACCAGATCTTCAGGGCCCAGCCCTATAGCAGAGATTCTTTTGGGCGGCTAGTTGCTGTGATGAGCAGACCTTTATGATCAATCTCACTTCTTTCCCCTCAGTCTAAAGCCCAAGACCTGCAAATCCATGAGCTATGTAGGGTTTGAATACTGGCAAACGGACATAGTTTCCTAACTAAAATATGAGTTCTTAAGTTTCCTCTTCTGTAAAATGGGGATTATACCTCTTGGATTTAACTGGGGAATTGGTATCTGTAGTTTAGCAAGCCCTTTGCCAGCCACCTTTCCTCCTTCCTGCCCTTGGTCCCTGCAGACTTTTTTCCACCTCTATCCCAATCTGCCCCAACCCTTCCTGCCAGGGCTATGGCACTCACCTGATGAACCACCTGAAGGAGTACCACATCAAACACAGCATCCTCTACTTCCTCACCTACGCTGATGAGTATGCCATTGGCTACTTCAAAAAGCAAGTGAGTGGGCTTGGGAAGGATACTTGAAAATGTTGAAAGGGGTGATGTTGGTCAAGATGTATTCATAAACTGTTCTGTTAAATGGCAACTCCTTTGTGCAACTACTTAAAGAGAATTTTTTTTCAAAAGGGGGAAAAAAGAAAGCACGTAAGCCTCCCCTTCCCCCACAGGTCCTCCTCTGCAGCCTCCTGCTGTGGAGGAAGCCAGGGTCTCTTCATGTCCCCTCTTCTACTTGGCACTGTGAGGAAGTTATTCCTCCTGTCTTGCTTCATTCTTCTGTGGCCCCAGTGGGGCATTCCAGAGGACTTGGGAAGCTTGTAGGAGTAGGTGGGGTGCTCAGCCAACCTAGAACCTTCCCACGGACAGACAGAGTCCTCACAGTGCCACAAGGAGGTTCAGGAATGGGCGAGAGGGGCTGGGAAGTTAACTCAGTGGTAATGCTTGCCTTGCATACATGAGGCCCTGGGTTCAATTCCGCAGCACCACATACACAAAAAATACCGGAAGTGGCATAGTGGCTCAAGTGGAAGAGTACTATCCTTAAGCTGAAGAGCTGAGGGACAGCTCAGGCTCAGAGTTCAAGCCCCAGTACTGGCAAAAAAAAAAGGGGGGGGCAAGGGCAAGAGATTGTGGCACACATCACCACTCAGGTGCTCTGCGGGGCACTGTGAAAATTGAGTGTTTTTTTGACAGACTTTATTTTTTTTTGGGGGGGTCCGGTTGTGGGGCCTAAACTTTGGGCCTGGGCGCTCAAGGCTAGCGCTCTACCACTTGAGCCACAACGCCACTTCCAGCTTTTTTCTTTTTGCTTATGTGGTGCTGAGGAATCTAACCCAGGGCCTCATGCATGCAAGGCAAGCGCTCTACCACTGAGCCACCTTCCCAGCCCCCAGACTGTTTTTTCTATCCCCCCTCCTCAGGGCTTCTCCAAGGACATCAAGGTGCCCAAGAGCCGGTACCTGGGCTACATCAAGGACTATGAGGGGGCGACACTGATGGAGTGTGAGCTGAATCCCCGGATCCCCTATACAGAGCTGTCCCACATCATCAAGAAGCAGAAGGAGGTTGTGCATGCACATTTCTGGGGGTTTATCGTGTGCACACATGGAGGCTGAGCACATGTGTAGACCTGTACTTTATGTGTGTTCCTTTGTGCATGTGTTTGTGTGTGCATGCATATGGTGAGGATGGGCTGGGTCTTGGTTCTCACCCTGCCTTATATGGCAAATTAGGACAGGGAGGCAGAGCAGCTTGTGGCCTTGGGAAAGTTGAGACTGGGGCTGGAGTGGGCCAACTCAAACCCCTTCTTCCCTCAGATCATCAAGAAGTTGATTGAGCGCAAACAGGCCCAGATCCGCAAGGTCTACCCCGGGCTAAGCTGCTTCAAGGAGGGCGTGAGGCAGATCCCTGTAGAGAGTGTCCCCGGCATTCGTGAGTAGGGGTTTTGCTGAGGGGACAGGAAGGCATGTTGTTTGGTCGGCCAGGCATTCTTAGGGCTGTTCTCTCATTCCCCCTTTTCAGGAGAAACTGGCTGGAAGCCATTGGGGAAAGAGAAGGGGTGAGTTTCTGTAGGGGGATGGGGGTGGGGGGTGGGGCACAAGAACCCAGAGCCTCACACTTAACTTGGCATCTCTCATCCCAGCAAGGAACTAAAGGACCCAGACCAGCTGTACACAACCCTCAAAAACCTACTGGCCCAGATCAAGGTGAGGAGGCCACGTTCCCCCCCCCCCGGGGGGTGGTGAGGAGGAGGGGAATCTTTTTATAACAGCTGTGGCTTTATGACCCATTCTGGGGTGGTGGCGTCCGCCGGCTGGGCATGGGCCTTGCCCCCAGCTGAACTTCCCTCTCTAGTCACACCCTAGCGCCTGGCCCTTCATGGAGCCCGTGAAGAAGGCAGAGGCCCCTGATTACTACGACGTCATCCGCTTCCCCATCGGTGAGGACCTCCATTTTTCTCTTTCTTGCTGGGCCACACCACCCGGGGACCCGGCCGTCTCCCCACTCTTAAAGCCGGGGTCCCCCCCTCTCACTCTCCCCTCCCCCCGCC